TAAAAAAACCCTAATCAAATTTATACCTCCTTTAAAATTTCAATTTAAATTATTAATAAAAAATAATCTTACATTTATATACCATTTAAATTTATTTTTCCATCTTGATTTAAGATTTAGAACGTGCTTGTAAAGATAGGTCCAAGGTCGCCAATCTTGGATGTACTATGTGTTTATTAAGCTTGTTTATTAAGCTTGAAGCACTCACCAAATTGTTGAGTTTGGTTACTTAATAACCGAGGTGAGATTTAAGTTGAGCTCTTCCCAGTTGCATGGTAATTATAATGAGAATGCCTTCACCCAATCCTTTATTCTTGAGATCATCGCTTTATTCTTGAGATCATCGCTTTATTGGCCACGGCAAATTCTGATTATATTGTTAATTAGGCTACGTGCGTATCTTATTAAAGCCTATAAATATCTCATGGGTTATTTCTAAAAACTAATTGAAATCGACCTAAAGTTTTCTTTTCATTCTTTTTTAAGAGTAGATAATATTATTGTCAATTTAAATATCAAAATATTTATCTTGAAAATCAATTTCAGGACTTTGCAGGTCTATTTAAATAAAAGACTTGAATTAAGGATTTGTTGGTTCATTGCAATTACATTTTGAACACGTCAAATTTTGATTATTTTGTTAAGTAAACTATGAGAGTACCTTATTAAGACCTATAAATATTTTCGAGAACCATTTTTAAAAAATAATTGAAATTTATTTAAAGCTTTCTTTTTAATCTTCTTTAAGAATAGATCAAATTATTATTGACTCAAATATTAAAATATCAACCCCAAAGATGAGCCTCGAGATTTTACAGATATGTTCGAAAAGAAAACTTGAGGTGAGGATTTACTGATTCGATTGCAATTACAGTTACAATACCTTTTCTAAATACTCAATAATAGCATTGGCGTGTTACACTGTCGGTTGACGTGAGATGGTGAACGAAAAGAAATATGTATTCTATGGACTGCACGTGCCATTGCAGGTCATGGGAATACAGGAATACTTCGACGGAGAGTCTAACGCACGTGTGTCAAACACCGGAAAGTCAAAATTGAGAGGATAAAAAATGGGCCTGCCTCGCCGACTGAAATTTGAATTTTGCAAGCAACCTCTTTTTTCTAATTTTGCGTCCTCCACTTCGTGGGCCCAAAATTGAGGGCAATAAATGGGCCTTGACAGCAGACAACCTTTTTCTAATCTTTTTATGTTCTCTGTCTTCGTGGGCCCTTCTCACCAACCTAACACTTGGCCTCCTCGGAGTTGGTCCCCGACCCCCTATTAATTCACCATGAAAGTTTTTTTTTTTCTTTTTTAATTAATTTTTTATATT